GACAGTGTATTGGGAAGGCAAGCAGTCTCACTGACTCCAGACAACATGGTGTGAGAAAGCTAGCATGTCCTTATTACTCCAAGCAATGATGTAGGAGCAAGCATGTCTCATTGGCTCCATCACGTATGTGGGAGCAAGCTTCTCATTGACCCAGACAACAATCATGAGGAAGCAGGCATGTCTCATTGACTCCAAACGAATGTGAGGAAGCAAGCATGTCTTATTGATTCCAGACAACACTTGTGAGAAAGCAAGAATGTCTCATTGACACCAGACAACACTCGTGAGGAAGCAAGAATATCTCATTGACTCCAGACAACATGGTGTGAGGAAGCAAGCATGTCTCATTGACTCCAGACAACGTATGTGAGGAAGCAAGCATGTCTCATTGACTCCAGACAACAATCATGAGGAAGCAGGCATGTCTCATTGACTCCAAACGAATGTGAGGAAGCAAGCATGTCTTATTGATTCCAGACAACACTTGTGAGAAAGCAAGAATGTCTCATTGACTCCAGACAACACTCGTGAGGAAGCAAGCATGTCTCATTGACTCCAGACAATATATGTGAGGAAGCAAGCATGTCTCATTGACTCCAGACAATATATGTGAGGAAGCAAGCATGTCTCATTCACTCCAGACAATATATGTGAGGAAGCAAGCATGTCTCATTAACTCCAGACAATATATGTGAGGAAGCAAGCATGTCTCATTGACTTCAGACAATGTATGTGAGAAAGCAAGTGTGTCTCACTGACTCCAGACAACGTATGTGAGAAATCAAGCATGTCTCATTGACTCCAGACAACATGGTGTGAGAAAGCCAGCATGTCTCATTGACTCCAGACAACGTATGTGAAGAAGCAAGCAGGTCTCATTGACTCCAGACAACGTATGTGAGGAAGCAAGCATGTCTCATTGACTCCAGACAACATGGTGTGAGAAAGCTAGCATGTCTCATTGACTCCAGACAACGTATGTGAGGAAGCAAGCAGGTCTCATTGACTCCAGACAACGTATGTGAGGAAGCAAGCATGTCTCATTGACTCCAGACAACACTCGTGAGGAAGCAGATATGTCTAATTGGCTCCAAACATTTCTGTAACCCTAAATAACACATATCAGGGATGGCCCATGTGATTTTTTAAATATTTTTTTAAATTTATGTTCAGTTTCTAATGTTTCTTCAACTTTAAGTAACACATGTCAGGGATGGAACACCTAAGTGACTGCAAAAACATTCACTGGAAATCAAAAGTGTTTTTATTCATTAACTGTCCTGTTGTATTACGTGTCACATAGGGCTTACAGTCTATTCCTTCCTTTCATTCTATCCTGGGAAATCACTTTGATATCATTGACTGAATCCAGTTCAGCACCTCTGACTTTTCAATGCACGTTTCTGTAGCATTTTTTTTTTATACAGGGTAGGGGAGCTGGCCCCATGCCCAGCCTTCTTTCTTTCTTATCCAGCATTGGGACCGGCAATGGTCCAGGTGTTTTAGTGACTCTAAATGCCACTTATGGAAAATTCATCAAATGCAGTATCTAAGTGACTATGACACTGATAACCTAAAAATAATTTCAGCTGGACCAGTAAATAACAACAACAAAATATTTCTTGGTGGACTGACACATCAGTGTAAATGATCAGTAAGTCAGTGTGTTTTGATAGACACATGAGTGTTGAATGATCAACATGTTAGTGTGGATGATTGACACATGAGTGTTGAATGATCAACATGTCAGTGTGGATGATTGACACATCAGTGTTGAATGATCAACATGTCAGTGTGGATGATTGACACATGAGTGTTGAATGATCAACATGTTAGTGTGGATGATTGACACATGAGTGTTGAATGATCAACATGTCAGTGTGGATGATTGACACATCAGTTATGAATGATCAACATGTCAGTGTGGATGATTGACACATGAGTGTTGAATGATCAACATGTCAGTGTGGATGATTGACACATCAGTGTTGAATGATCAACATGTCAGTGTGGATGATTGATACATCAGTGTTGAATGATCAACATGTCAGTGTGGATGATTGACACATCAGTGTTGAATGATCAACATGTTAGTGTGGATGATTGACACATCAGTGTTGAATGATCAACATGTTAGTGTGGAAGATTGACACATCAGTGTTGAATGATCAACATGTTAGTGTGGATGACTGACACCCCCCCTCCCCCCCCCCCAATATGTGTGTTGAATGATCAACATGTTAGTGTGGATGATTGACACATCAGTGTTGAATGATCAACATGTTAGTGTGGATGACTGACACATGAGTGTTGAATGATCAACATGTTAGTGTGGATGATTGACACATCAGTGTTGAATGATCAACATGTTAGTGTGGATGATTGACACATCAGTGTTGAATGATCAACATGTCAGTGGGGGGGATTGACACATCAGTGTTGAATGATCAATATGTCAGTGTAGATGAGTGACACATGAGTGTTGCATGATCAAAATGTCAGTGTGGATACTGACACATCAGTGTTGATGATCAACATGTCAGTGTGGATGACTAAAACATCAGTGTTGATCATCAACATGTCAGTGTGGATAATTGACACATCAGCGTTGATGATCAGTATGTCAGTGTGGATGACTGACACATCAGTGTTGATGATCAACATGTCAGTGTGGATGACTAAAACATCAGTGGATGACAGTGTGGATGACATCAACATGTCAGTGTGGATGACTGACACATCAGTGTTGATGATCAACATGTCAGTGTGGATGACTGACACATCAGTGTTGATCATCAACATGTCAGTGTGGATGACTGACACATCAGTGTTGATCATCAACATGTCAGTGTGGATGACTGACACATCAGTGTTGATGATCAACATGTCAGTGTGGATGAGTGACACATGAGTGTTGCATGATCAAAATGTCAGTGTGGATGACTGACACATCAGTGTTGATGATCAACATGTCAGTGTGGATGACTAAAACATCAGTGTTGATCATCAACATGTCAGTGTGGATAATTGACACATCAGTGTTGATGATCAGTATGTCAGTGTGGATGACTGACACATCAGTGTTGATGATCAACATGTCAGTGTGGATGACTAAAACATCAGTGTTGATCATCAACATGTCAGTGTGGATGACTGACAGATCAGTGTTGATGATCAACATGTCAGTGTGGATGATTGACACATGAGTGTTGAATGATCAACATGTCAGTGTGGATGACTGACACATCAGTGTTGATCATCAACATGTCAGTGTGGATGACTGACACATCAGTGTTGATCATCAACATGTCAGTGTGGATGACTGACACATCAGTGTTGATGATCAACATGTCAGTGTGGATGACTGACACATCAGTGTTGATGATCAACATGTCAGTGTGGATGACTAAAACATCAGTGTTGATCATCAACATGTCAGTGTGGATGACTGACACATCAGTGTTGATGATCAACATGTCAGTGTGGATGACTGACACATAAGTGTTGATGATCAACATATCAGTGTGGATGACTGACACATCAGTGTTGATTATCAACATGTCAGTGTGGATGATTGACACATCAGTGTTGATGATCAACATGTCAGTGTGGATGACTGACACATCAGTGTTGATTATCAACATGTCAGTGTAGATGATTGACACATTAGTGTTGATGATCAACATGTCAGTGTGGATGACTGACACATCAGTGTTGATGATCAACATGTCAGTGTGGATGACTAAAACATCAGTGTTGATCATCAACATGTCAGTGTGGATGACTGACACATCAGTGTTGATGATCAACATGTCAGTGTGGATGACTAAAACATCAGTGTTGATCATCAACATGTCAGTGTGGATGACTGACACATCAGTGTTGATGATCAACATGTCAGTGTGGATGACTGACACATCAGTGTTGATGATCAACATGTCAGTGTGGATGACTGACACATCAGTGTTGATTATCAACATGTCAGTGTGGATGATTGACACATCAGTGTTTATGATCACTATGTCAGTGTGGGCGACTGTCATGTCATTGGTAGATTATTCAAACGTGTCTGTTGAATGAGTGACATAAGTCAGTAACCATATAGTTACCATATTTCAAATGTGAACATCACTCTGTATTCACAGTCAGCAACCAGGTGACTAATGGACAACCAAGCGAACGTACCCCAGGAGCTGTTTGCCCAGGTGCCATTCCTGGGTCAACTTATCTATGTTCTGACAACAGACCAGCATCTGCACAACAGAGGTAAACACAAAGATACTGTATGTGGTATTATGTAATTACCAATATGCTCCTTGATGATAAGCCAAGGCTATCCTGGTTCTCTGTCCTACGTAATTGCTACAGCCACACAGATTAGTTTTCCTATCCCAGCCAGTCCATATGGCTAATCTGCCCTGGTGTTGATCGCTTTGTCTTCGTTTTGCTCTTTTCTCATCAGTCTTGCCAGTTGTTATCAAGTTCTCAAGTCAGTTCCCGCATAGCGTGTCCGTGGGGAAACACACTCACAAACATATACATGTGTGTTTTGTGTGAGTGTGTGTTTTGTGTGAGTGTGCGTGCATGTTTGTGTGCATGTGTGTGTGTGTGGAATAATAATCTGTCTCATAGCACGGTTACAGTAGTAGTAGTAGACTTTTACCCCACCAGGACATCACACAAGCGATAAACACCCGATGACACAAGGTGCCACCATGTGGATGAGGATCACCGTGGAGAGGTCCCAGAAACTGCGTTCAGCCACTAGACCATATTTATGGTCAGGCTATATTGCGGCCCCTGGCAAGAGCCAGAGTAGGGCTTCAAATAACAAAAAGTTGCATCTCACAAGGAGATGACTGGTTAGCATGGTAACATTCTATACAGAACATGACTTGTCCATTCTTTGGTTAGTGTTTCTCTAATGTCTTTTACAGCAAGTCAGTCACATCACAGCTCTCCAGAAAGACTCTGGGTCACATTCTAATTCCACTGCCAGCTGTACTTTCATGCTCCAGTTGTCTCTGACGGGCTGTGTCCATCTTCATGCTGGTTAACCCCTGCCTTTTTTTCCTTGGCACACAAATCTTCTTCTTCTTCTTCTTCTTCTTCTTCTTCTTCTTCTTCTCCTCCTTCTTTGCATTCACCAGCTGTAAACTCTGGCTGAAAGTTCTGGCTGTTCATCCACTTCTGGATTGCAGTCCTGTTCCTGAGTTTTGCGTGTGCATCCGTTTTACACATCTGACATTTGTATGCAGACTGCTGGTTCCTTGCCTCTCAGGCAGATGCACTCTGACTGAAGGAAGCTTCCAGTTAGTCGGCTCTCACGACATGCTTTTGGGTAGGCAGTGGGTCTTTTCTTGTTTTCCCTATAACAGGGTCCCAGAACCCACACACGGGGGGGGGGGGGAGGCACACAAACAAACACACACATCAGCACATAGTATACAAACAGACAGCACATGCTGGTACTATGCACATAGTACACACAGATACCAGCACATAGTACACACACTGACACCAGCACATAGTACACACACTGACACCAGCACATAGTACACACACTGACACCAGCACATAGTACACACACTGACACCAGCACATAGTACACACACTGACACCAGCACATAGTACACACACTGACACCAGCACATAGTACACACACTGACACCAGCACATAGTACACACACTGACACCAGCACATAGTACACACACTGACACCAGCACATAGTACACACACTGACACCAGCACATAGTACACACACTGACACCAGCACATAGTACACACACTGACACCAGCACATAGTACACACACTGACACCAGCACATAGTACACACACTGACACCAGCACATAGTACACACACTGACACCAGCACATAGTACACACACTGACACCAGCACATAGTACACACACTGACACCAGCACATAGTACACACACTGACACCAGCACATAGTACACACACTGACACCAGCACATAGTACACACACTGACACCAGCACATAGTACACACACTGACACCAGCACATAGTACACACACTGACACCAGCACATAATACACACACTGACACCAGCACATAGTACACACACTGACACCAGCACATAGTACACACACTGACACCAGCACATAGTACACACACTGACACCAGCACATAATACACACACTGACACCAGCACATAGTACACACACTGACACCAGCACATAGTACACACACTGACACCAGCACATAGTACACACACTGACAATATATAATTTGAGACCAGAACATTGCTTACACAAGGACTATCTCTCACATAATGGAGGGAGAATTCATTGTCAGATTGCCTAAAGGTGCCATTTTTTTTTTAAAGTGAGAGGAATTTTTCGTTATTTTTCACCCAACATATGGACAGGCAAAATATGTATGCTTGTGAGTATATAAGTGTATGTGAGTTTTATAGGAAGGCCAAACCTCTTGGTGTATGTATGAATATGTGTGTGTGTGTGCATGTATGTGTTGATGTGTGTGCATCAGGTGGGGAGGAGAGAGAGAATGTGTGTTTAGAGACGTACTATCGTTGTGCTGGTGTCTGTCCAGGAACTCGGCAACTGTTGAAGCTGGTGTTTGTGTGTATGGTGGTAGGATCGGTACTAGGATACTATATCTTTGGTGAGTGAAATAATTAGTATCCTCTTTATCACTATCAGCTTTATCATTATGATCATTTTTATCACCACCATAAATGTTATCATTATCATTAACTTTATCCACATCAGCATCCCTTATCATATGTAGAATATACTCTAAATATTTATGTGACATTTCACATATAAACATGAGAGAAACCAAAATATTTATGTTGCATTTCATATATAAACATGAGAGAAACCAAAATATTTATGTTGCATTTCACATATAAACATGAGAGAAACCAAAATATTTATGTTGCATTTCACATAAAAACATGAGAGAAACCAAAATATTTATGTTGTATTTCATATATAAACATGAGAGAAACCAAAATATTTATGTTGCATTTCACATATAAACATGAGAAAAACCAAAATATTTATGTTGCATTTCACATAAAAACATGAGAGAAACCAAAATATTTATGTTGCATTTCACATATAAACATGAGAAAAACCAAAATATTTATGTTGCATTTCACATATAAACATGAGAGAAACCAAAATATTTATGTTGCATTTCACTTATAAACATGAGAGAAACCAAAATATTTATGTTGCATTTCACATATAAACACGAGAGAAACCAAAATATTTATGCTGCATTTCACAAATAAACATGAGAGAAATCAAAATATTTATGTGACGTTTCACATATAAACATGAGAGAAATCAAAATATTTATGTGACGTTTCACATGCAAATGTATTGCTTGTTCTTCCTGTTGTGCACCTCTGTAAACTCCAGAAGAAAGTTTTGGCTGTTCATCTTCTAGACTTTGGTCTCATTCCAGAACTTGAGTTTTGTGTGCGCATCCATATAACAGATCTGGCTTATTTGTATGCAGACTGTTGAATACTCGCCCCTCAGCTGAGTGCACCTCGACTTCAGAAGAGACACGGTTAAAGTAATGTTTTCTGCCACAGGAAGAGAATGACATCCCTTCTCATTTGTGCCTTATCACATCTCAGAGCCTATCCTACGTTGCAGGGATGTTATTATATGGCTTGGTTCGGCGTTCGCTCAGAGCATATGTTTATATGCGGTTGTGTCACTGTGAGTCTTTTTGAGGCACTACAGGCACCACTGTACTAGTACAAAGTACTGCAAGGGGGAGTGCAGAAGTCATGATGCTTTGCAAATATAAAAACTGTTATGTTTTTGTATTTCTACATTAATTGGCTGTGGCTACCCCCCCCCCCCCCCCCCCAACATAGGAGAGGCCCTGCAATGCGATGAGGCATAAATGGAAAGGGAAGTGACTCTTTCTGTGGCAGAAAACGTTACTTGAACCAGAAACACCCTTAATGTGTCACCTTTTACAGCATGTTTCTGAGTTGCTGTACTAACGGTTCTTTGTTTGACTGACCAGAAAGCAAGTCCACGGGAGCAGCAGTTGGATGTTTTCTAGGTGAGTACAGTTTATCCTTTTAATCTGTTAGTCTGTATGGTTTATTGGTTCACCTCTGACTGCTAATGGAAGATATTCCACTCTAGAATATCTCTTCGACTTGACTGATCTTGTATACCAGAGCGGAATGAGTCTCCTGCATATGTGTTTAGGAATAGGATCGCTTCTCGGCCTTCTGGCTAAAATCAAAGTGTAGCTTTGCTGCACTGATCTGGCCAAGAGGACCGAGATCGGTCACAAACCAAGTCACAAGTAAAACCCAATCGGCAAAGCCAATCTTAAAAATTAACCTTTGCCAGGCGGTTTTGCCGTTCAGTCTGGATTACCAACGTAATATCCTTAGGGTAGTCGGGCTGCCAGGCTGGACATTTAGGAGACCGACCCGGTAAAAAAAAAGTTTTTAGGAAAACAAATTTGTGTGTCTGTGTGTGTAAGCGAAATACAGGGAACCTTTTTACACTCTGAGACTTGTTGAACGTATGATACTGGCTCCACTGTTGTGCTTGCTTGCTCGCTTGTTGTACCCCACCAGGACATCACACAAGTGATAAACACCTGGTGACACAAAGTGCCATCATGCAGATGGGGATAATCCATGAAGAGGTCCCAGAAACTCCTTTCAGCCATTGTGGCCACAATTGTGGCCTAGTTATTTTCAGGCCCCTCGGCAAAAGCCAGGGTGGGCTTCAAATAACGAAAAATTGCATCCCATAAGGGGATGGCTTGGAATAGGTATTAACCACTGTTTGACAATTTACAACCCAGTATACAAGAGTGAAAATGAGATAATCTACAACACAGTAAAAAAGAGTTAACAGATAAAGAATCTACAGTCCAGAGTGGAAAAGTGAAGACTAGACATGTTCATAATGTATCTCTACAGTCCAACGATACAGGACAAAAGACTGACTAAATTTTAAAATACCTCAATAACCAAAGAAAGAAGTAGAAAGATCACAAATTGTTGAGAACATCAGCATCCACAAAGTTGAAAAATTAAACAAGTCTTGAACACATTAAGATTGTTGATAGGACAAAGGGGAAAAGACAACGAATAAATTTTTTTATATATATACTTTGCTAGCTTTACTGTGTGGAGATAAAACAAGTAAGGAAGTTTTCTCTCTTGTTGATGGTCTACAAGATCTACCAGTGGAGCAGCAATTATCTGTTGGGGAAGGAGTTGAGGACCTTGTGGGGTCAGACTCAGTGGTGACCTTGAGAAACTATGTCACAGTACCCAACCAGTATTCAAAATTGGTCAATTTTCTGAGGGGCAGATTTCAACAGCGTAAGTACTTGAAGCAGGAATATATATATTTCCATTTAATTCAATCATTTTGTTCTGGGTTTCCAAAAGTAATAAAGTGGAGAAATCACAGGTTTGGCTGGTTGACATGACAATGGAAACCAAGCTGTTTAGATCAGGGAAGACATGTGTCATACACCACAGGCTTCCTAGAGGCTTGTGGCCTACAGTGGAAGACATGTGTCACACCACAGACTTCCTAGAGGCTTGTAGCCTACAGTGGAAGACATGTGTCACACCACAGACTTCCTAGAGGCTTGTGGCCTACAGTGGAAGACATGTGTCACACCACAGACTTCCTAGAGGCTTGTAGCCTACAGTGGAAGACATGTGTCATACACCACAGGCTTCCTAGAGGCTTGTGGCCTACAGTGGAAGACATGTGTCACACCACAGACTTCCTAGAGGCTTGTAGCCTACAGTGGAAGACATGTGTCACACCACAGATTTCTTAGAGGCTGGTGGCCTACAGTGGAAGACATGTGTCACACCACAGACTTCCTAGAGGCTTGTGGCCTACAGTGGAAGACATGTGTCACACACCACAGAGTTCCTAGAGGGTTGTGGTCTACAGTGGAAGACATGTGTCACACCACAGACTTCCTAGAGGCTTGTGGTCTACAGTGGAAGACATGTGTCACACCACAGACCTCTTAAAGGCTTGTGGCCTACAGTAGAAGACATGTCATACCACAGACTTCCTAGAGGCTTGTTGTCTACAGTGGAAGACATGTGTCACACACCACAGACTTCCTAGAGGCTTGTTGTCTACAGTGGAAGACATGTGTCACACCACAGACTTCCTAGAGGCTTGTGGTCTACAGTGGAAGACATGTGTCACACACCACAGAGTTCCTAGAGGGTTGTGGTCTACAGTGGAAGACATGTGTCACACCACAGACTTCCTAGAGGCTTGTGGCCTACAGTAGAAGACATGTGTCATACCACAGACTTCCTAGAGGCTTGTGGCCTACAGTGGAAGACATGTGTCACACCACAGACTTCTTAGAGGCTTGTGACCTACAGTGGAAGACATCTGTCACACCACAGACTTCCTAGAGGCTTGTGACCTACAGTGGAAGACATCTGTCACACCACAGACTTCCTAGAGGCTTGTGGTCTACAGTGGAAGACATCTGTCACACCACAGACTTCTTAGAGGCTTGTGACCTACTCATCTGAAAACCACTGGCAGGGAGAATGAAGAAAAGAAGAAAAAGAAATAATAGTGAAATAATGACTGAGTGATGAACTTGCACTTTCTGTGTTAGACATTTATTTTACTTAGGCAATGAAACACTTACTAAGACGGAATTAAATGATATGATAGAATAACTAATGTAGAGCTTTGGGAGAGAACTAAACAGGCTCCAGTGGACCAAGAGGTGAGGAAAAGATGCTGGTGTTGGCTAGGACACACATTAAGAAAACAGGAATACAGCATAACTAGAATGTCTTTGCATTGGAAGGAAGGCCCAAAAACACACGGAGAATTGAGCTGGAGAATGAAGTTAGAAAGATGGGGAGAGCTCCATGTAATGGCGAAGGACAGAATGACTTGGCGTTAGTTGGTTGAGGGCCTATGCTCCATTGGGGGATAGAAAGGCAGAAGAAAGAGAAGACCAGCCATGTGTAGACAAATATCCTTGTATAGAAGAAAGGGCAGTGAACATTAATTTCAGTAAGCAGTGCAGTGATTACAGGTTTATGTTTGTTTTAATTCCTTCTATGGGCATATCATCATCCATCAACATGTCCTTTACAGAACATCACTCTCTTCATGGAGAGCCTGAGAGTCTCTCTTTCTCTAGCCACTTCTCCAGCCCTATGTACTTTCATAGCCAATGCATCTTCAGTGTCTTGTATCCATGTTCACGAAGGTCTGCCTCTGTAGCCTTCATCACTATTCTACCCAGACCTCTATGATGTTCAACATGCTCAAAATACCCCAACTTTCGTGACAGGATGCTGTTTATGAACCAGTTCTCCTTGATTCTCAGATTGTGTCAGATGTCAATGTTTTCCTACTTCTTGGACCATGGTATTCTAAAGATTTTCCTGCAGCATTTCATTTCAAAAGCTCTGATGGAAATATAGTTTTAAAAAAAAGTGAAGTAAAGGACCCTTGTCCAAGCCTTTAGGCGTATAGGGCATATAGGGCTAGACCTATATTTTATAGACCAACGGCATAAGATGGGTGTTGTGGTCAGCATAACGCCGGCCGCCTCTTCTTCCCGGGACTGCACCGGGTACCCACTCAAGATGGAAATATAACCACTGTATATTTGTTTTGTCATTTGCATACACTTTTATCACAGCTTTGTGTTTTTCTGCAGGTCCCAGAGAATTTTCCAGTTTGTGGATTGCCTTTGCTGTATTTGTTATTTGTCTTTTGTTCTAGTTCTTCACTCAACAGTGGTGAATTATAATAAACATAACTGTATATATCTGGCCTCTTTGCGAGTTACAGTATATGAGTTTGTGTTGGTTTTTGCACGATCGTAATGTGGCTTTTTTTGTTGTTGTGTGGTACATTTTGTATCACCACATCCTTCTGCTCTAAATATATATGATGTGAGAGAAAGGAAAAATATTAAACTAATTATACAGCTTTGCACACAACCACAATGACCCTATTCAGCACTGCACCTAAAATGTTCCTTCCCAAGATGCTTACCCTAAAAAGTGGAAGTTAGTGATGATAATAATGTGATCTACATCCTGTGGATCACTTCCACTTCCAAGAATATTTGGTGCTACCCATGCTAGGCACAGATGATCAGGGAGTGTCCATTTTTTTTCTTTAGTATTCCACCTCACCAGGGATTTGAACACCTGACCACTGGACTAACACCAAGTCTACTACCCACTGTTGTAGTCTTAGTTGTGGTAGCGATGATGGGGTAGTAGCTATGGTGGTAGTAGTGTTGGTGTGGTAGCAGTAGTAACACTAGTTAGTGCTAGCAGTGTTAGTAATACAGCGATTGTGCGGTAACATGAATAGTTCTGTTGGATATGACAACGGTTTATTGATTTAAATAAGCACCGTGTGAGAAAGACAGGAGGATAAACTTGTCTGCATTAGACATCTAGCCTAGTTTATCTTCTTTGGTAAGGACACAAAGACAATATTGGGGGAGAGGAGGGGGCTAAATTTCCTTTCCAATGTTTTGGGCGGATGTGGGGCTAAATGGAATAAATCCTGTTTAAATGATTAATAATAATTTGGCATATAAAAATAATAATCCTCCGAATAACGGGCAAAAAATATGGTGGCCGCAAAAACACCCTAACAGAGCCTCAGTCACGTGTCAATTGCGCACTTCAATTTGCGGTTTTCCGGCGACTAACACCACCGCCGAGTGAATCCCCGCGGCGTGGATTGGGGCTAAACTAGATGGCTGGGACTCACGAGCAGCAGATCCCGCATCTCCGGCAGCTTTGCTTGTGAGTCCCAGCCATATAGTTTAGTCCTAATCCACGCCGCGTGGGGGATACTCTCGGCGGTGGCGGTAGTCGCCGGAAAACCGCAAATTAGAACGTAGGAAGTGCGCAGTTGACAAGTGACTGAGGCCCTGTTTTTAGCCGCCATATTTTGTGCCCGCGCTATTCGGAGGATAGCTAAAATATACGTATAGGCAACAACCCCCCCCCCCCCCCCCTCAAAAAAATACTTAAAGAGAACTTATGTGAATGTTGGGTATGAGCGTAGCCTACGGACAAAATGGGCGGGTGCCTCTATGGGCCTCATATTTCGGCGCCCTTGGTATCTGGTTGTGTGGAAAAGAAAAGATATTCTCACACTCGGTGTGTGACTTTCCCGTTACGGTGTAACCACACAACCATTGTGTGAACACGGCCGTCTGCTACTGGACGTCTGCTAGCCAACATGTCCAGGAACGGACCTCCCAGTCTACATCTTCGACACAAATGTAAGTCTTCTCTGTCGCTCATACCGATTTTTATGACACACATGATCTTTATTTATACCTGTTTTGCTCTTTCTTGAATCGGAGATCAGGAGATGATCTTTGAGACGGAATTTGTTTCTTCTGCCCTGGTCTGTCTGGTCATCAAAGGAGAAACAAGGAACAAAAAACAGATACTGACTATTAATATTATCACGTTATCAATTCGTGGCGATCACTCATCTGTTGAGTCATCCCCCACACAGACATGATCTTCTTACTCATTCCGTTTACGCCGTTATAATTGAATTTGTAACTACTCCTTCACTGATTCTAATGCTGGATTGTCACCATCTGACTCCCCGCCCACACAACTGAGAAATAAAATCGGACGTTTTTGCTATAGTACTAGTACTACTAGCGCTCACTAACAACAGGAAACCTGACGGTTCCGTTTTAAACATCTGCATTATTAGCACAAATGATTCAAGGAAATAAACATCCTCATACAAAATGTCACCTCTATTTTTATGCTGCTTAGATCATCATCGTTCTGTGGTGCCAAAAATACCACATTGGGTTCACAATCTTTTCTTCCATTCAGTTCAATCCTGTACCATTCCGTTCTGTCTTGTACAGTCAGTTTAATATGGAGTCCGGTCCAGCATCTTTAGCCTCTCTCAGCAATGTTAAAAATAATATACATACAGGTAACCCCCCCCCCTCCCCCCTTCCCCAGTGGTCACGATGTACTCCAGTTTTCTCATCCTCGTGACATAACCAAAAAATGTAGATTGTCTCTTTGTCTTTGTTATTATGGCCTGTCGAGAATGAGGCACCTACACTTAGAGGAAAGGCAAAAAGGACTTTTAACCAGATTGTGACCGTTACCATCATTATTGGCACTCTGTGCTGGCTGCTAAAGATGAGGACGGAACATGCATGAGAATGCCCTGGGTGCTGTGATGTCAATTCTTGACTCAACTCAACTCAGCAATGTTCTGTTTTTGGTTTCTATTGGGCGTCCTCGCTTCCTTAATCCCTTTATTTAACATTTGAATGCGTGTTTGGTGATTCTCTGCCCGTTTTCTTATCAAGATGTATCCAGTATAATGTTATTGTCTCTCTCTTAAAACTTGTTATCAGTGGTTGCCCAGACATTTCTTTTTCTTCACCCCTCTTGAATAAATTATATTTTATTTTCATTTTTTACATCAGTCATTTGTTTTTAAATACATTTAACTTATGCCCCTTTGATACTTTATTAAATTGTCTTTCTCTATATTTGTAATTGCATAAGGCAGCCATAAGATGTGCCAGCATTGTTTCCTACCAGAGGATCAGCTCACTGATGATGCAAGCTGTCAGTCATTAAAGCTAGCACTGGACACACACAGCTGCATAATTATATCACCATTCGTCTGTAAAGCCACATCTCCATCACTTTTTTTTCAACTCATCGTCCAACTGTTCATGATTCATGTCCATATATTAAGATAGGATTTATAAAGCTCTTGAGGATTCTCTTTCTCGTCTCAGTTGACACAGAAGGATTGCAAAGAATGTTCTTTATTATGTAAAATGCTACTTTTTCATCTACACCAAAGAAAAAATCCGCCTGAAGGAACTGTTGAGCTAGTCAGCTTTCAAGTAAAATACAAGCAGACATGAAGTCATGAACATCATCATCATCATCTAGCAGCTGCTACACAGTACATGACTCCTGTCACCACTCCCTGATACAATGCCCAGTCCCCAGGATTGTATCATATCATGCCCCAGGTGTTCCCGTTTGTCCTGTGTCTGTCTGCCTGCCTGCCTACTACTGACCCCGACCATGATTACTGTTGTTTCTAAAATCTTTGTATAGTTTAATTTATCTGAATTATTTAGTTTGTGATCAGTGAATCTGTTTATAAGCCATTTGTTTGTGGTGCCCATGCTTGGTAAAATGGCAGTAATTGTGCCTTTCTTGATCCACCGCGTTCTAAGATGTTCTGTAATGTTCGGCTTGAAAGGCCTGAATGTTCTTCTTCTATTGATTGTGAACTGATCTGCTGAACCAGTATTGTACATTTCTGCCATACTTACTGAAACAGCTTGCACAGCTTGTGTATGTTCAGCTGACAGATCAATAGCTTCATACCCATTGACGTCATCACTGCTGTGTTCTGACCACGGCTTACATCAGTCTGAAGGTGCTATCATATTTATAGAGGTTACTTAATGTCCAACAATGAAGGTTATGAGAACGGCTGATGTTATATGTTGGTGAACTCTTGCGTTATCATTGGGATACCTCATTTCAGATTTAGATTTCTTGATTGTATGATCTTTTTGAAGTTGAAAACTTGGTATCATGCTTTTTGGCATTGGGATTTTTAGTTGTGTTTGCCTTTCACATTCATGCTGTTTATTTGGTAGCTTTATTTGTATTTCTGATGTGTGTCTTGACAGTGATACCAGGCAGTAACAGATTATGAGCTTAGTGGTATATGTTCTGCATTCTTCTTCTTTGTGTTTATTGGTTGTAAACTCCAACAGAGTTCTCGTTGTTCATCCATCTCTGGACTTTAGTTTTATTTCAAAACCTGGGTGTTACATAGCACGTGTTTTGCAGTCTGCCTTATTTGTATGCAGACTGTTGGTTCCATATCTCTTGTTGGTAGACAGTGGATCTATTCTTGTCTTTCGGAACCCATACAGGGAATTTTGCATCCTACTTGAGCTGTCATGGTTCAGGGTGTAGATGGCACGGGTTGTAGCTCCAGCCTCTTGCCTTCTCAGATGAGTTGACGTGCTGATGCAGCTTGTCTGAGGTGGGTTTTATATATAGTGGGTTGTGTCTAAGGTGGGTTTCATATATAATGGGTTGTGTCTGAGGTGGGTTTCATATATAGTGGGTTGTGTCTGAGATGGGGTTTATGTATAGTGGGTTGTGTCTGAGGTGGGGCTGATATGTAGTGGGTTGGGTCTGAGATGGGGTTCATATTTAGTGGGTTGTGTCTGAGGTGAGTTTCATATATGGTGGGTTGTGTCTGAGGTGAGTTTCATATATAGTGGGTTGTGTCTGAGGTGAGTTTCATATATGGTGGGTTGTGTCTGAGATGGGTTTCATATATAGTGGGTTGTGTCTGAGGTGAGTTTCATATATAGTGGGTTGTGTCTGAGGTGGGTTTCATATATAGTGGGTTGTGTCTGAGGTGGGTTTCATATATAGTGGGTTGTGTCTGAGATGGGTTTCATATATAGTGGGTTGTGTCTGAGATGGGTTTCATATATAATGGGTTGTGTCTGATAAGGCCAAGCATGAATCTGTTTTCTCTCCATTCTCTGTCCCTCACAGCTGGAGATAATCCTAGATCTAACTATGAATAGCAGATGTCCTGCTGCTGAGTTTCAAAGAGAAGGGACACAAATGTAATCAAATTGCAGGTTTCAGCAGTCACAGCTACCAGTGTTGGAATGTGAGCTTTCAGCCACCACAGAACTTGTGAACAAATCATGCTAGGAGAGGTCATTGTGAAGATAGTTCTTCACGTGTTACCAGCAGGGTCTTGTCTTCGAGAACATCCAGTAACCAGACACCTGGTGCTTCAATGTTTCCGTGGTGACAAATGGATGGATAATACATTACTTGCATGAGGGGACTGTTTTCTGGACAACTGTGACCATGTGACTGTGGATGAGCGCTTATCTTCGGCTGGTTCCTCACATGTGGCCATTAGATCAGGCTTCCCGCTGGGGATTCTGTCAGTGAGCAGACATTCAACTTGGGAATTGCCTTGGCAGATATGACAATTTATGTGTGTGAAACATTTGTGAGGGTGTTAGTTGCCCTCCTCTCGTAGCTATGGCTTCTTCAGCTGAACAGATCCCTTTGCCGGGGACAGGTTCTTTATCAGCAAAGTCATTTTTGGGTGAAGATTTGACCTGCTTTCCTTTGGCTTTACTGCAAGAGTGCTACCAACGGGTGTCAGAGTTACACACAGCGTTGTGCCTCCTTGACAAGGCAGGAACACACTTGACACAAACTCTAGTGAAGGTACTGGAGCACACTGCCTACAGATGTGTTGGAGGTGTGCTGAGGGACCGGCTCGGGGATGTGTTCACAGCTGCTGCATCACAGCCACACCAGGCCATTGTCCAGGAGCTGGAGTCAGTGATTGCAGGACTTATCAGCACTGAGAAACAACAGATGGATCTACAGTCTTCGGACCAGGTAGGTTAGAATGTTTGTGCTTCCTTTTGTCACCATCTTAAGAACAAATGGTTGCTCATTTTCTGGTAGCCAGCTTGTCTGGGTCTCTAGTCCTCAAATGCTTCAGCCTTTCCAGAGTACCTCTACTGATTGTCTCTCTTAGAAGTTTGTTATAATATATTGTATCTTTACCTCAAAAACAGCATAGATGTGCTTCATAAGATACTCCAGTATCATGTAGTCATGTTAGCATCAGAAGTTCATCATTATCTGTAACTCTAGGCCATACAAAATTGATGATATCAGCTCTGTTGATACTTCTTCCTGCATGAATTGGTGCATTACTTGCCAGTTCTGTTCATTCATTACTTTTTACTGTAGCATGCCCAGGTGTGTAGATCTTGGTAATCTTAGTTTCAGCTTCATAGCAAACGAGTCACCCCATAGTTGCTCCGCTCCTGTTCGTCGCAGTCCCTTGTGGAAAGATTGACAGACTGCTGTCTCAGCATATGCACTAGCATACACATGCATTAAAAGCATATGGTAGCCATCAGAAGTGCTAACACAAACAGTCCAACATTAGAAATGCAGTTCATCATTGAGGGTAGCAGAAGTCGCCAACAGATCAGCAGTTGCGCACGCAATCAATATTAATCACATAAGGGCACCACCAATATTGTGGCGACAGGCAAAGCACCATTTTCTGAATCTACAGTTCACAACACCACGTTGGTCACAGTAAAAAAACATTCCAAACGAAATCCGCAGCTCACAGGGTCGCGCAGTGCACTCAATAGCTGGCACAACGAAACTGTATCCTTTCAGTCTACACATGAATCAAAAATGCAACGGCCACCGTCTAGCAGAAGCAAAAACTTTGCCTCGATGCGAAACAGTAACCATGCCTGCCGTCCATTTTGACCGGAAGTCTGTGTACCCATTCAATGCGTAAACTGCCTGCTTTGCTGTTCTGAAACATGTTGATGGCGTCTGACACAGTTACTGCTGTTGGTTGGCTGGCTGTGTATCTTCTAGAACAGTCTTCTTCAGCCAGTATCCTGGTGCTGTGCCTAATCCTTCTAATAAAAACCAAACAGAGAAATCAAATAGATCTTTTTGCAGTGCTACATCTGTCAGACACAATGAACCAGCCATGTATATCAGGTTTTATAACCTGTAAGCAGCAGAATATGTCACATTTGTTGAAAACTCATGTTATGACATCGAATCTAACAAATAAATTCCTGCCTACATTTGTTTTCTCCCCCTGCAGTCCTTGTTTTCTCTCCCCGCAGTCCATGTTTTCTCTCCCCGCAGTCCATGCTTTCTCTCCCTGCAGTCCATGTTTTCTCTCCCTGCAGTCCATGTTTTCTCCCCCTGTAGTCCTTGTTTTCTCCCCCTGCAGTCCTTGTTTTCTCTCCCTGCAGTCCATGTTTTCTCTCCCTGCAGTCCATGTTTTCTCCCCCTGCAGTCCATGTTTTCTCTCCCCGCAGTCCATGTTTTCTCTCCCTGCAGACCATGTTTTCTCTCCCTGCAGTCCATGTTTTCTCCCCCTGCAGTCCTTGTTTTCTCCCCCTGCAGTCCTTGTTTTCTCTCCCTGCAGTCCATGTTTTCTCTCCCTGCAGTCCATGTTTTCTCCCCCTGCAGTCCTTGTTTTCTACCCCTGCAGTCCTTGTTTTCTCTCCCCGCAGTCCATGTTTTCTCTCCCCGCAGTCCATGTTTTCTCTCCCTGCAGTCCATGTTTTCTCCCCCTGCAGTCCATGTTTTCTCTCCCCGCAGTCCATGTTTTCTCTCCCCGCAGTGCATGTTTTCTCTCCCCGCAGTGCATGTTTTCTCTCCCCGCAGTCCATGTTTTCTCCCCCTGCAGTCCATGTTTTCTCTCCCCGCAGTCCATGTTTTCTCCCCCTGCAGTCCATGTTTTCTCTCCCCGCAGTCCATGTTTTCTCTCCCCGCAGTCCATGTTTTCTCTCCCCGCAGTCCATGTTTTCTCTCCCCGCAGTCCATGTTTTCTCTCCCTGCAGTCCATGTTTTCTCTCCCTGCAGTCCATGTTTTCTCTCCCTGCAGTCCATGTTTTCTCTCATTGCAGTCCATTTTTTCTCTCCCTGCAGTCCATGTTTTCTCCCCCTGCAGTCCATGTTTTCTCCCCCTGCAGTCCATGTTTTCTCTCCCCGCAGTCCATGTTTTCTCCCCCTGCAGTCCATGTTTTCTCTCCCCGCAGTCCATGTTTTCTCTCCCCGCAGTGCATGTTTTCTCTCCCCGCAGTCCATGTTTTCTCTCCCTGCAGTCCATGTTTTCTCTCCCTGCAGTCCATGTTTTCTCTCCCTGCAGTCCATGTTTTCTCTCATTGCAGTCCATTTTTTCTCTCCCTGCAGTCCATGTTTTCTCCCCCTGCAGCTGTAGTTATGCAGATGGATTCATGGATTATATGAAGCTGTAGTTTTGCAGATGGATTCATGGATTATATGAAGCTGTAGTTATGTTGATGGATTCATGGATTATATGAAGCTGTAATGTAGATGGATTCATGGATTATATAAAGCTGTTATGTAGATGGATTCATGAATTATATAAAGCTGTAGTTATGTTGGTGGATTCGTGGATTATATGAGGCTGTAGTTATGTAGATGGATTCATGGATTATATGAAGCTGTAGTTATGTAGATGGATTCATGGATTATATGAAGCTGTAGTTATGTAGATGGATTCATGGATTATATGAAGCTGTAGTTATGTAGATGGATTCATGGATTATATGAAGCTTTAGTTATGTAGATGGATTCATGGATTATATGAAGCTGCAGCTATGTAGATGGATTCATGGATTATATGAAGCTTTAGTTATGTAGATGGATTCATGGATTATATGAAGCTGTAGTTATGTAGATGGATTCATGGATTATATGAAGCTGAAGTTATGTAGATGGGTTCATGGATTACATATGTAAACCTGACTACAGACTCCCCCATCTTATGTTTCAGACTCTATGCCAGGTTGCCCTGCTAGTCACCAAGATGGAGAGTCAGTACTTCTCTCAGTGCCACAGGAAGATGTCAGACCTCCTGCAAGTGTTGCTGCATCTACAAGGAGAAGACCCTGCTGCAAGTGAGGTGGTCACACAGCTTCTCTTCCAGCTGGGGCTCATCACTGAGCTTCAGTCCTCAGACAGAGCTGCCATCAGTCTCCCCAGCAACCCCTGGGCTAGCCAGCACTTGAGGGTGTCAGTGCCTGAAGTTGAGCCCCAGAGTTCTACTGGGCTTCGGCTGGGGCCCTTTCTGGACAAACAGAACTATTTAGATGAGAACAAAGGGCACTTCTTTGCTGATGCCACGGAAGAAAGGTCAGAGGGTAAGGAGACAGAAAAAGAAGGGATTCCAACAGTGTCGGTGACTGCGGGTAGCTTTGAAAGTGCCAGTTATGTTCCTTCACATATAGCTAGGCAGGGGCTAGCTGCCTTTTCATCCGGTCCCCTGAGCAGCATTTCTGACCAGCCAGTCCACCTTAAACACATCGAACATGGCAGCCACCATCTGCGACCAGTCACAGAAAGCCAAACTGGCAGCCATGGGTCTCCCGTCCCAGTTATTGTGTGTAAGTTTATTTCATTAACTTGGTCTTTCTCTTCATCATCATCATAACCCTCATCATCAGTTCATTAACTACAACTTTGTCATGCTCTCTATCGTATTTATAATTGCCTGTGTGGGTTCCCAGGCGCCCCCCCCCCCCCCTCCCAACCTCCCCTCCCAACCTCCCCCCCTACCTCCCATCATGTTGTAGAAGGTATTCTTTTAAAGTTAGAGTCTATCTGCCTGAGAGGTGAGAAATTAATGGTCTTTATACAAATAAGCCAGATCTGTAAAACAGATATGCACTCAGAACTCAAGTTCTGGAGCAAGTCAGAAGTGGATGAACAACCAGAATATTCTTCCTGATAGCATCTATTCAGACTCAAAATAAACATGTAGATCTTATCTGTTTAAACTCTAAACCAACATGTACATCTTATCTCTTGAAACTCAAAGTGAAAATATACTTCTTGTCTGTTTAAACTCTAAATGAATATAGCATCTCATCTGTTTAAACTCCAAACATACATTTTATTTGTTTAAACTCTCTTTTTAAACCCCAAATAACATTTGGATCCTATTTGTTTAAACTCCAAATGAACATATATGTGACGTGCGGTCCTTCATTGTAACGAGTGTAAAAGTGTCTAGGGGTGTCGCAATGTAACAAATGGCATCAACACTTAACATGCCACTGGCCAAGAGTAACACAACATAAGGAATGCTGAAGCTTCCAACGTAGCGGAACGAGAACTCTCTTTAAAAGTTCCATTTGTGTATTGACAAATGCAATGATCAACACAAGAATACGTATGCAATCAATAATCAACTCGTTCAACCAAAGCTCACTCGTACATCCATGTATTGATATGTCCTCACGATAGGTCGCAGTCCGACCTTGAGATCCAGACGATTATCTTTGTCCTCGGACAAGTCCAAATTAAGCAATGAAAGTATACCGGCTTACTGCCGAGAATGTAGTATTCACCAGCTTCCTGCTGAGGTCTATCTTGGAATCCCGGGGTAAAACGTCCTCAAGGATCCAACTTCATATAACGTTTGCTTCCGTGGGATCCCGGGGTAGAGCGTCCTCAAGGACCCACACGTCCGTCTCCTTCGGACTATAAACATCAACTCCTTTTACAACAATATCTTAACAACGTTACGTATTGTTTTGACGTCTTATTTGCTCACTCCGTACCGGTGCGTTCTAGTGCGCATTCGCACGCGACAGCTTTTCCCCCCTCCCGAGGACGACCGAGCACTAGGACTTGTCGTAGTCTCGGTCGGGAAACTGGAGTCATGTCGCGGCAAACAGCACCAGTACGAGAGAGCAAATAAGAACACTTGAATACACACACACTCACTCCTCAATATATCGTCAATACATTACTAAATGCATGCAAAATATAGATTCCTGACTTCACTAAGCATTATTATCAACAACATTATCGTTATCCAAATTATTTTCATAACAGCATGCATTTTAAATATCATGTAAATTCAACAAATAAACATTAATCCTATTCCAATGCCTCTGGGGTGCGCGACAAAAAATCGGCTAAGACATTTTCTTTCCCTGGGCGATAAATAACTGTGAAGTTGAACGTCTGTAGAAACATTATCCATCTTAATATGCGTGAGTTTTTGATGGGTGCTGAGTTCAAGACTTCGAGTGGACGATGGTCCGTCACGATAAAGAAGTGACTGCCATACAGGAATTGGGTAAACTTCCCTATTGTCCAAAAAATGGCTAGTGCCTCCCTCTCGCCCACGCTGTAACGGATCCCGGCTTGGCCCCCATTGTGACGTGCGGTCCTTCATTGTAACGAGTGTAAAAGTGTCTAGGGGTGTCGCAATGTAACAAATGGCATCAACACTTAACATGCCACTGGCCAAGAGTAACACAACATAAGGAATGCTGAAGCTTCCAACGTAGCGGAACGAGAACTCTCTTTAAAAGTTCCATTTGTGTATTGACAAATGCAATGATCAACACAAGAATACGTATGCAATCAATAATCAACTCGTTCAACCAAAGCTCACTCGTACATCCATGTATTGATATGTCCTCACGATAGGTCGCAGTCCGACCTTGAGATCCAGACGATTATCTTTGTCCTCGGACAAGTCCAAATTAAGCAATGAAAGTATACCGGCTTACTGCCGAGAATGTAGTATTCACCAGCTTCCTGCTGAGGTCTATCTTGGAATCCCGGGGTAAAACGTCCTCAAGGATCCAACTTCATATAACGTTTGCTTCCGTGGGATCCCGGGGTAGAGCGTCCTCAAGGATCCACACGTCCGTCTCCTTCGGACTATAAACATCAACTCCTTTTACAACAATATCTTAACAACGTTACGTATTGTTTTGACGTCTTATTTGCTCACTCCGTACCGGTGCGTTCTAGTGCGCATTCGCACGCGACAATATACATCTCATCCGTTTACACTCCAGACAAACTTGTAGATTTATCTATCCAAATTAACTTGTAGATCTTATCAGTTTAAATCTCTCAGTGAATGTTTAGATCTTATATGTTGAAAATCCTAAGAATACCACAGGAAGTACTATACAGTAGCTATGCTTTCAGTTTCTGGATCTCATTCGTCTACTCTGCGACACAAAGAATAATCTTCTATACTTTCAGCTTCTAGATCTCATTCATCTACTCTACCACACAAAGAATAATCTTCTATACTTACAGCTTCTAGATCTCATTCATCTACTCTACCACACAAAGAATAATCTTCTATACTTACAGCTTCTAGATCTCATTCATCTACTCTGTGACACAAAGAATAATCTTCTATACTTTCAGCTTCTAGATCTCATTCATCTACTCTACCACACAAAGAATAATCTTCTATACTTTCAGCTTCTAGATCTCATTCATCTACTCTGGGACACACAGAATAATCTTCTATACTTTCAGCTTCTAGATCTCATTCATCTACTCTGGGACACACAGAATAATCTTCTATACTTTCAGCTTCTAGATCTCATTCATCTACTCTGTGACACACAGAATAATCTTCTATACTTTCAGCTTCTAGATCTCATTCATCTACTCTGGGACACACAGAATAATCTTCTATACTTTCAGCTTCTAGATCCCAGCTGGCCACTGAGGAGGAGCTGGAGAGTGTCATCAACCTTCTGTCAGGAATAGGCTATGGATCAGCCTCGCCCATGCAGGTGATACCTGAGGTGATGCCAGCTCAAGGCTCCATGCAGCTGACAGTGCCACAGATCTACCGCACCCTCAGCCCACTGTCCGACACTCACTTGGAAGACAGGAGAAAATCTCAGGTATGTCGAGTTGCCCGGTTGTACACTTGCCACTGCTGACACATTTTAAGATGGCTTTGTGTGTAGTGTCATGGGTAGCGTAATACTTCTGAGACTAGTTGCCAAGTTGTACACTGAAATTAGGTTGTGTAATATAATTGGTGTGGCTAATAAACAGCATCTTGTCTCGGATGCTTAAATATTTTGGTCATAACAAGGGCCACGACGGATTGGAAAAAATTATAGCAGAAGGCATGGTACCAGGAAGGAGGGGCAGGGGCCGACCGACACGAAGATGGGCACAGGATATAAGTGACTCCTTGAGTATGAAAGTACATGAGGCGGGAGAACTGGCGAGAGACTGAGTTTCTTTCAGGCAGACTGTAATGAGAGTGACGTTCTGCATAGGACCTGCTACATGATGATGATGATGAATATAAATGGTAGCACTATTGCTAGTTTAACACTTCTTTTTCTTTTCTTCTTCATCTTCTTCTGTGTTCGTCATTTAAAATTTGGTTAGCACCTTGAGTTGTGTTTTACAGCTAGGCATGATATCTGAGCTTTTCAGATAGACATCAAACACCGAATGAGCTGCTTCAACGACTTGCTTGTTAGGGAGGCAGCGGTTCTATTAATTTTTTTTTTGCAGGGCTGCAGAACTCGTACAGGAAGTTTGAAACTGAGTTGTGCTTTGTACAAACATCAGGAGAGTACAGTGGTCCACTCCAGGACAGGGCAAGGAGTGGCAGTGTAATCCTCACACTTCGACGTCATAGTGGATTATATGTATATAATTATTATCATCAGGACAATGTTATCACTAGCCCAACCCTGTTAACTGTACAGGATTGATAATGTTATCCCTAGCCTAATTCTGTTAACTGTACAGGATGGATAATGTTATCCCTAGCCTAATTCTGTTAACTGTACAGGATGGATAATGTTATCCTTAGCCTAATTCTGTTAACTGTACAGGATAATGTAGATAATTTATGAATCTGTCTGGTACACATATACTTTATGATTTGTCAGAGACACAGGTAATGTTGAAGCTATTCCTGGCTTAATTTATGAATCTTACATATGTACAGGATTTAGATAATTTATGCATCTACCTAGGGTAGTAACGGAAATATTTTATCCGACACAGTTCATGAATCCATTTCGGTACTTAAGATCATTTAGATCATGTATAAATCTGTCAGGTACAGGATAGTGTAGTTAGTATCTATATATACACAATTCATGAATCTATCAAGTACCCAGGATAATGTAGCTGTTTTATCTTTGTAAATCTATCAGATACCCAGGATAATGTAGCTGTTTTATCTTTGTAAATCTATCAGATACCCAGGATAATGTAGCTGTTTTATCTTTGTATATTTGTCAGGCACCTAGGATTATATAGTTGTTTTATCTTTGTATATTTGTCAGGCACCTAGGATTATATAGCTGTTTTATCTTTGTATATTTGTCAGGCACCTAGGATTATATAGCTGTTTTATCTTCGTGAATCTATCACGTACCCAGGATAATGTCACTGTTTTATCTTCGTGAATCTATCACGTACCCAGGATAATGTCACTGTTTTATCTTCGTGAATCTATCACGTACCCAGGATAATATCACTGTTTTATCTTCGTGAATCTATCACGTACCCAGGATAATGTCACTGTTTTATCTTCGTGAATCTATCACGTACCCAGGATAATGTCACTGTTTTATCTTCATGAATCTGTCAGATACCCAGGATCTGTTTTATCTTCATGAATCGGTCAGATACCCAGGATCTGTTTTATCTTCATGAATCTGTCAGATACCCAGGATAGTGTAGCTGTTTTATCTTCATGAATCTGTCAGATACCCAGGATCTGTTTTATCTTCATGAATCTGTCAGATACCCAGGATCTGTTTTATCTTCATGAATCTGTCAGATACCCAGGATAGTGTAGCTGTTTTATCTTCATGAATCTGTCAGATACCCAGGATCTGTTTTGTCTTCATGAATCTGTCAGATACCCAGGATAGTGTAGCTGTTTTATCTTCATGAATCTGTCAGATACCCAGGATCTGTTTTGTCTTCATGAATCTGTCAGATAATGTAGCTGTTTTATCTTTGTAAATCTATCAGATACCTATCATGTACCCAGGATGATGTCACTGTTTTATCTTCGTGAATCTATCACGTACCCAGGATAATGTCACTGTTTTATCTTCATGAATCTGTCAGATACCCAGGATCTGTTTTATCTTCATGAATCTGTCAGATACCCAGGATCTGTTTTATCTTCATGAATCTGTCAGATACCCAGTATAGTGTAGCTGTTTTATCTTCATGAATCTGTCAGATACCCAGGATCTGTTTTATCTTCATGAATCTGTCAGATACCCAGGATCTGTTTTATCTTCATGAATCTGTCAGATACCCAGGATAGTGTAGCTGTTTTATCTTCATGAATCTGTCAGATACCCAGGATCTGTTTTATCTTCATGAATCTGTCAGATACCCAGGATCTGTTTTATCTTCATGAATCTGTCAGATACCCAGGATAGTGTAGCTGTTTTATCTTCATGAATCTGTCAGATACCCAGGATCTGTTTTGTCTTCATGAATCTGTCAGATACCCAGGATCTGTTTTATCTTCATGAATCTGTCAGATACCCAGGATAGTGTAGCTGTTTTATCTTCATGAATCTGTCAGATACCCAGGATCTGTTTTGTCTTCATGAATCTGTCAGATACCCAGGATCTGTTTTATCTTCATGAATCTGTCAGATACCCAGGATCTGTTTTGTCTTCATGAATCTGTCAGATACCCAGGATAATGTAGCTGTTTTATCTTTGTAAATCTATCAGATACCTATCATGTACCCAGGATGATGTCACTGTTTTATCTTCGTGAATCTATCACGTACCCAGGATAATGTCACTGTTTTATCTTCATGAATCTGTCAGATACCCAGGATCTGTTTTATCTTCATGAATCTGTCAGATACCCAGGATCTGTTTTGTCTTCATGAATCTGTCAGATACCCAGTATAGTGTAGCTGTTTTATCTTCATGAATCTGTCAGATACCCAGGATCTGTTTTATCTTCATGAATCTGTCAGATACCCAGGATCTGTTTTATCTTCATGAATCTGTCAGATACCCAGGATAGTGTAGCTGTTTTATCTTCATGAATCTGTCAGATACCCAGGATCTGTTTTGTCTTCATGAATCTGTCAGATACCCAGGATCTGTTTTATCTTCATGAATCTGTCAGATACCCAGGATAGTGTAGCTGTTTTATCTTCATGAATATGTCAGATACCCAGGATCTGTTTTTTCTTCATGAATCTGTCAGATACCCAGGATCTGTTTTATCTTCATGAATCTGTCAGATACCCAGGATCTGTTTTGTCTTCATGAATCTGTCAGATACCCAGGATAATGTAGCTGTTTTATCTTTGTAAATCTATCAGATACCTATGATAGTGTAGCTGTTTTATCTAACAGAATTCATGCTTCAGGTACACATGATAATAATGTAGGCTGTTGATGAATCCCTCAGGTACACAGGCGGTCCGAGGGATGCTTAGACCTGTCAGCTATGGGACACCACATGTGGCCTCATCAGCATCAGTGTCACCATCGTGCCAGTTTGCCATCGGTCCAGATTTTCTCCGCTAGTGGTCATCGGTGTGGCTACGACCCACCCTCTCCAGTACCTCCATACGTACGAGACTCACCTTCTCCAAACTACAGTTTACGTGACCCGCCAAGTCCTGGCTACTTCCACGGTGACCCGCCTTCTCCGTTCCGTACCAATTATGCAAAAACTCTTGGGATCCACCCGGCTGCTGTGCGGCCCAGCATGCTGTCTCCTGTACAGTGGTCCGCCGGTCCACCTGCCAGTTTGTCCAGCAGCCGTCTTGGTGGCCTCGAACCTAACATGAACCAGCATGGTACCTGGCCAGTGTATGGTGGCATGTCATCAGTGTCGCCGAGGTAAAAACATTCTCGTGTCATCATCATGTCTTTGCCTCCTGACACAGGTGATCATGTCCATCCATATCTCACAGTCTCTGTCAAAGGCCCCATTTGGGGGGGGGGGGAGATAATGGCCCTGCTGCCCCTTAATTAATGTAAAAATTGACTAATTTAAAGTCTGCTAAAATAAATGGGCTGAAAGGTGCAGAAATTGCAGCCTAGCTGTAAACTACAATACAACATGCTAAACATTCTTTTAAAGGCAACCATAAAAGAAGAAGAGGTTTGAGGTTTTGAACAATGGATCCACATCCTGGCACAGGGGTAGTAACCTATAAGTGCTCCGTTCTTCTTCTAACTCAAGACTGAGTCCCAAGAAGCTCAGCACAGTGCACAGGCTCTGTAGCACTGACGAAGATCCTGAAATACTTGGGTAGATTTTTAACTCCAAATGGTACCCGGGCAGCGCTGTTAGGCTACTCTTTTAAATTTCTAACTGCCAAGGGATTTTTTTTTTTACTTGCGGAACAATGCACACGGGCGTCTGATCTCACTACCCAGAAACCAGGGTGAATTACTAGAAGTCTCAAGTCCTTGTGAAAAAAATCCAGAAGAAGAATGATAAGTTGATATGCTCATATTTTCCCATGTCATGATGAATACTTTCTGTGCCAACACTTTTTACTCTAACTTTTCTTCACAAGCTGTTACATTTGCTTTGGAGTGATATTGTGGAAATCAAGTTGAGACAGAGAGGGTTGACTTCCTTTCACTTGGCCATACATCTCTGTCTTTCTCCGCACAATGGCTAACTGCCTATGTTACATAAAGCACTCTATAGATCCAGCAATCCCCAGGGGTGTCCATAAAAATTGTATTGTGAACCAGTGCAGTCCATTCTGGCAGTCGAGAAGTTCTCTGAGCACTTTACGATTGACTTCTGGGGGTGAAGTTCTCTGAGCACTTTACCATTGACTTCTGGGGGTGAAATTCTCTGAGCACTTTACCATTGACTTCTGGGTGTGAAGTTCTCTGAGCACTGTACCATTGACCTCTAGGGGTGAAATTCTCTGAGCACTTTACCATTGACTTCTGGGGGTGAAGTTCTGTGAGCACTGTACCATTGACCTCTAGGGGTGAAATTCTCTGAGCACTTTACCATTGACTTCTGGGGGTGAATTTCTCTGAGGACTTTACCATTGACTTCTGGGTGTGAAGTTCTCTGAGCACTTTACCATTGACTTCTGGGGGTGAAGTTCTCTGAGCACTTTACCATTGACTTCTGGGGGTGAAGTTCTCTGAGCACTTTACCATTGACTTCTGGGGGTGAAGTTCTCTGAGCACTTTTCCATTGACTTCTGGGGGTGAAATTCTCTGAGCACTGTACCATTGACCTCTAGGGGTGAAATTCTCTGAGCACTTTACCATTGACCTCTGGGGGTGAAGTTCTCTGAGCACTTTACCATTGACTTCTGGGCGTGAAATTCTCTGAGCACTTTACCATTGACCTCTGGGGGTGAAGTTCTCTGAGCACTTTTCCATTGACTTCTGGGGGTGAAGTTCTCTGAGCACTTTACCATTGACTTCTGGGGGTGAAGTTCTCCCAAGCACTTTACCATTGACTTCTGGGGGTGAAGTTCTCTGAGCACTTTACCATTGACTTCTGGAGGTGAAGTTCTCTGAGCACTTTACCATTGACTTCTGGGGGTGAAGTTCTCTGAGCACTTTACCATCGACTTCTGGGGGTGAAGTTCTCTGAGCACTTTACCATTGACTTCTGGGGGTGAAGTTCTCCCAAACACTTTGAACAGAAGTCATTGAAGAAACAGTTGACACTGAATGGGTGGAAGTGACACCTGGATGGGGCAACAAGAGTTTTTCCCACAGTGTTGGCTGTAGTTTTGTAAAATTATATTATCTTGATTTCGGGGAATAGATTATTATGGCCCGGAGAGAATGAGGCACCTGGGTGTAACTAGAGGGTCTTGCCGGCTCACTACACTCGATTTAAAGGCAACACAGACATATAATCAGATTGTGGCTGGTACAGTCAGTATTGGAACTCTGCGCTGACTGCTGAAGATGAGGACAGAGCACGCATGGGGATGTCCCGAGTGCTGGGATGTCAATTTTTGTATGTTATAACCGTGTTGTTGCTTCGACTATGTTGACCTTGCATAGATACATGTATGTTATAACCATGTTGTTGCTTCTACTGTGTTGATCTTTCATAGATACATGTATGTTATAACTGTGTTGTTGCTTCTACTGTGTTGATCTTGCATAGATACATGTATGTTATAACTGTGTTGTTGCTTCTACTGTGTTGATCTTGCATAGATACATGTATGTTATAACTGTTTTGTTGCTTCTACTGTGTTGATCTTGCATAGATACATGTATGTTATAACTGTTTTGTTGCTTCTACTGTGTTGATCTTGCATAGATACATGTATGTTATAACTGTGTTGTTGCTTCTACTGTGTTGACATTGCACAGATACATGTATGTTATAACTGTGTTGTTGCTTCTACTGTGTTGATCTTGCATAGATACATGTATGTTATAACTGTGTTGTTGCTTCTACTGTGTTGATCTTGCATAGATACACGTATGTTGTAACTGTGTTGTTGATTATATTGTTTGTTATGTCTGCTGTCTCCAGCGTGGCTGAAACATCCAGCTGGGTAGGAACCCAAGACTGCAGTGATCTCAGCGACGACTCCTCTAACGAAGATCAGTTTTTCACTGTTGGCAAGGACCTGTCCCACTTGATCAACCCCAAGTAAGTGCCCTTACAGAATAAGCTCTTCAACTATCAATCATCTTTCTTCTTATTTGTCTCTTGTCCTCATATTTGGTTTAAGTTCTGTCCCCATCTTGAATGTTTTTTAGTTTGGTCTTCTTATTCTCAATTTTCACCAACTGTAAACTCTGGCGGAAAGTTCTAGTTGTTCGTCCACTTGTGGACTTTAGTCTTGTTCCAGACATGAGGCTGCTAGTTTGACCATGTTGCCACAGAGATCCCACTTTGACCCCTGCTTTCATCCCTACTAGAGACAGGAGGGCTGTAGGGGTCACCCAGTCACTTACCTGCAGAGAAAAACTGGCAAAGGGAACACGTCACCCTTCCTGAGAAAGTCATGGCCTCAAATGTGTGTAGCTCTAACATTGACGATCATGCAACTGCCAAGATCTGACGTGTTGTACACAGCAGTATGTTGATTTTGGAATTTGACCGTCTGGTAGTTTGCCTGGGTCAGTGATTTGTTGTTGATTATCTTGTAGTCTGCCTGGGTCAGTGATGTGTTGTTAATTGTCTAATAGTTTGCCTGGGTCAGTGATGTGTTATTGATTGTCTGGTAGTTTGCCTGGGTCAGTGATGTGTAGTTGATTGTCTAATAGTTTGCCTGGGTCAATGAAGGATTTGTTGATTGTCTGGTAGCTTGCCTGGGTCAGTGATTTGTTGTTGATTGTCTGGTAGTTTGCCTGCGTCACTGATGTGTTGTTGATTGTCTGGTAGTTTGCCCGGGTCAGTGATGTGTTGTTGATTGTCTGGTAGTTTGCCTGGGTCAGTGATGTGTTGTTGATTGTCTGGTAGTTTGCCTGGGTCAGTGATTTGTTGTTGATTGTCTGGTAGTTTGCCTGGGTCAGTGATTTGTTTTTGATTGTCTGGTAGTTTGCCTGGGTCAGTGATTTGTTTTTGATTGTCTGGTAGTTTGCCTGGGTCAGTGATTTGTTTTTGATTGTCTGATAGTTTGCCTGGGTCAATGAAGGATTTGTTGATTGTCTGGTAGTTTGCCTGGGTCAGTGATTTGTTGTTGATTGTCTGGTAGTTTGCCTGGGTCACTGATTTGTTGTTGATTGTCTGATAGTTTGCCTGGGTCAATGAAGGATTTGTTGATTGTCTAGTAGTTTGCCTGGGTCAGTGATTTGTTGTTGATTGTCTGGTAGTTTGCCTGGGTCAGTGATTTGTTGTTGATTGTCTGGTAGTTTGCCTGGGTCAGCGATTTGTTGTTGATTGTCTGGTAGTTTGCCTGGGTCAGTGATTTGTTGTTGATTGCCTGGTAGGTCAGTATCTGCTTTATTTATGTAATGGTTACCGTAGTATGCACCTGACGAGATACTGCGAAATATGCCAGGCAATAAATTCTGCAATCTATTGTTTGTGTCTTCTTTGTTCAGATTATCTGTAAGTCTGTGTGATTATTGAAGAGTATCATCGCAGCACTCCTGGCATATCTATAGGTACTCTGATCTTCACAAGTGTAAGATGACTGGTGACGCCTGTTCCCTGCTCATTAATCAGACATCTTGTTCCCTTGGGGAAATATTCATTTCTTGCAGCTCCTGTTTGCACCCTCATGTCCACTAGCCTGGACAAAGAAATAGAGTCATGTACCTTGCCATAATCATCTTCACAATAAGTGCTTTGCTTGACATTGATAACATGTTCAGTACCAAACAAGCCATAACAACCCCAGTGTCGGCAAGATGATCTGCATGCTCAATGTATCAAACACCCGAATGAACTGATGCAAAGATGAAGATTAGACCAGCCATTTGAAAAGTGCTGCTTAGTGACACAATCCATTCTTGTCTGGATTTTCTCAAGCATTTTCATAGTCACAAAGTATGCCCTTTTTACAGCCAAATTTTCCATTATAAGGCTGTTAAGTTGTAACAGCAAAGGCGCCATTCATCTCCTTGATGGTTTCCCCCTTGAGCTTACTGTGACCGCCCATGCATTTGGCTTGCCCCAAATTACAGATCCGTCCGTGTACACTACAGCATCACCTTCTGTTTACATCAGCTAGCATTCTGAACTAACATGACAACTCTGCTCTCTGCAGCATCTATCGAGGGTAGTCTGCGTGGGTCAGTGAATGATGTGTGCCTGATTATCTACTGGTCAGTACCTCAGTGCTGAGGGTGGCTCTGTCCTGTTGGTCATTCCTCTGGGCACCGATTGTCTACTGGTCAGAACCTCAGTGCTGAGGGTGGCTCTGTCCTGTTGGTCATTCCTCTGGGCACCGATTGTCTACTGGTCAGTACCTCAGTGCTGAGGGTGGCTCTGTCCTGTTGGTCATTCCTCTGGGCACTGATTGTCTACTGGTCAGTACCTCAGTGCTGAGGGTGGCTCTGTCCTGTTGGTCATTCCTCTGGGCACCGATTGTCTACTGGTTAGAACCTCAGTGCTGAGGGTGGCTCTGTCCTGTTGGTCATTTCTCTGGGCACCGATTGTCTACTGGTCAGTACCTCAGTGCTGAGGGTGGCTCTGTCCTGTTGGTCATTCCTCTGGGCACTGATTGTCTACTGGTCAGTACCTCAGTGCCGAGGGTGGCTCTGTCCTCAGGGCATTCCTCTGGGCACTGATTGTCTACTGGTCAGTACCTCAGTGCTGAGGGTGGCTCTGTCCTGTTGGTCATTCCTCTGGGCACTGATTGTCTACTGGTCAGTACCTCAGTGCTGGGGGTGGCTCTGTCCTGTTGGTCATTCCTCTGGGCACTGATTGTCTACTGGTCAGTACCTCAGTGCTGAGGGTGGCTCTGTCCTGTTGGTCATTCCTCTGGGCACTGATTGTCTACTGGTCAGTACCTCAGTGCTGAGGGTGGCTCTGTCCTCAGGGCATTGTCTGGAAGACTGTTCATCAGGAAACACAGATGTCAACTGTTATCTCACATGTCATGATGTCAGCTCTGTTATTGTTGTTTGTATCACAGATGTCAGCTCTGTTATTGTTGTTTGTATCACAGATGTCAGCTTCATTGTTGTTGTCTGTATTGCAGATGTCAGCTCTGTTGTTGTTGTCTGTATCACAGATGTCAGCTGTGTTGTTGTTATTTGTATCACAGATGTCAGCTCCATTGTTGTTGTTTATATCACAGATGTCAGCTCCATTATTGTTGTCTGTGTCACAGATGTCAGCTCCATTATTGTTGTCTGTGTCACAGATGTCAGCTTTATTGTTGTTGTTTGTATCACAGATGTCAGCTCAATTATTGTTGTCTGTATCACAGATGTTAGCTCTGTTATTGTTGTCTGTACACAGATTTCAGCTCTGTTATTGTTGTCTGTATCACAGATGTCAGCTCCTTTATTGTTGTCCGTATGACAGATGTCAGCTCCTTTATTGTTGTCCGTGTGACAGATGTCAGCTCTGTTTTTGTTGTCCGTATCACAGATGTCGGCTCTGTTATTGTTGTCTGTTCCACAGATGTAAGCTCTGTTATTGTTGTCTGTATCACAGATGTCAGCTCTGTTATTGTTGTCTGTATCACAGATGTCAGCTCTGTTATTGTTGTCTGTATCACAGATGTCAGCTCTGTTATTGTTGTCTGTATCACAGATGTCAGCTCTGTTATTGTTGTCTGTATCACAGATGTCAGCTCTGTTATTGTTGTCTGTATCACAGATGTCAGCTCTGTTATTGTTGTCTGTATCACAGATGTCAGCTCCTTTATTGTTGTCCATATCACAGATGTCAGCTCTGTTATTGTTGTCTGTATCACAGATGTCAGCTCTGTTATTGTTGTCTGTATCGCAGATGTCAGCTCTGTTAGGGTTGTCTGTATCGCAGATGTCAGCTCTGTTATTGTTGTCCGTATCACAGATGTCAGCTCTGTTATTATTGTTTGTATCACAGATGTCAGCTCTGTTATTGTTGTCTGTATCACAGATGTCAGCTCTGTTATTGTTGTCTGTACACAGATGTCAGCTCTGTTATTGTTGTCTGTATCACAGATGTCAGCTCTGTTATTGTTGTCTGTATCACAGATGTCAGCTGTTATTGTTGTCTGTATCACAGATGTCAGCTCTGTTATTGTTGTCTGTATCACAGATGTCAGCTCTGTTATTGTTGTCCGTATCAAAGATGTCAGCTCCGTTATTGTTGTCCGTATCACAGATGTCAGCTCTGTTATTGTTGTCTGTATTGCAGATGTCAGCTCTGTTATTGTTGTCTGTATCACAGATGTCAGCTCTGTTATTGTTGTCTGTATCACAGATGTCAGCTCTGTTATTGTTGTCTGTATCACAGATGTCAGCTCTGTTATTGTTGTCCGTATCACAGATGTCAGCTCTGTTATTGTTGTCCGTATCACAGATGTCAGCTCTGTTATTGTTGTCTGTATCACAGATGTCAGCTCTGTTATTGTTGTCTGTGTCACAGATGTCAGCTCCGTTATTGTTGTCCGTATCACAGATGTCAGCTCTGTTATTGTTGTCTGTATCACAGATGTCAGCTCTGTTATTGTTGTCTGTATCACAGATGTCAGCTCTGTTTTGTTGTCTGTATCACAGATGTCAGCTCTGTTATTGTTGTCTGTATCACAGATGTCAGCTCTGTTATTGTTGTCTGTATCACAGATGTCAGCTCCTTTATTGTTGTCCGTATGACAGATGTCAGCTCTTTAACCTGTACTTGCAGGGATGGCAGCAGTGATGATGAGGCTGATAGTGGACGGCCAGATCTGTCAAAGGTAAGACATCTCACTGACTCCTGGGTTCATCTTCTTCTCTTTGCTGGTTAACCAAAGCTCTTTGTGGTGGCTTCAGTTTATTTATTATTGACCACTTGTAGAATGCAACACATTTTTCTAATTCATGCTTCTTCTTGTCCCTCTTTCCCTTCTTCATTTGTATCTCCAACTCCTCCTACTTCTGCTTCTCCAGCAGTCAACTGGAGGTTGTTAACATATTCATACAATTTGTCCTGGCATAAAACTGCTGTCTTAAACTGCAGTTAGCAGATAGGAACAGTGCAGCAGGCATACATAGAAGCGGTACCAATATCAGTCACAGAGAAAGGAACAGTCCTGTCAGAACCACCTGTAAGTCTGCCTAGCTGTTTAGGACAGTCAAAGAAGCAAGCACATTGTCACTACCAGTTCCAGAGAAAAGGACAATCAAAATGCACTGGAAGAGAAATGGCAGACCTGAAATTACATTGTGGTAAATCCTTCCCCAGCTGTTGCTCCCATCTGTTGTCCACCCCGTTTCGAGAACTTTCTTTGTTCAAACTTGACTCATCAGCCATCTGTGTACTCACAATCATTGATCAGGTTTTGACAAAAAGTGGTCAGAATCGAAACAACAGAAACAAAATGTCTATGGCAGATTCTAAATGTAACTAGAAGGGACAGGATCAGAAATGACAATATCAGGGAAGAAGTTGGGACAGGATCAGTAATGACGATATCAGAAAAAATGTTGGGACAGGATCAGTAATGACGATATCAGAAAAAATGTTGGGACAGGATCAGAAATGACAATATCAGAAAAGAAGTTGGGACAGGATCAGTAATGATGATATCAGAAAAGAAGTTGGTACAGGATCAGTAATGACAATATCAGGGAAGAAGTTGGGACAGGATCGCAAATAATGATATCAGGTAAGAAGTTGTGACAGGATCAGGAATGATGATATCAGAGAAGAAGTTGGGACAGGATCAGTCAACCTGTATTAAACTACCTTATGAAACAACAAATCAGATGCTTTGGACATGTGTCAAAACTTCCACCAGACACTGTACCACAGAAAGCTCTGTCATTTAGGCATAATGGATGCAGAGCCAAGCGTTGACCATGCAAATAATGGTTAGATGGAATATCTAAGGCCGTAAATACCAACATATATGTAGCACATACCAGGCAAGCAGCTGATGGATAGATGGAATATCTAAGGCCGTAAATACCAACATCTACATGGCACATACCAGGCAAGCAACTGATGGATAGATGGAATATCCGAGGCTGTAAATACCAACATCTATGTAGCAGATACCAGGCAAGCAACTGATGGATGGATGGAATATCCGAGGCTGTAAATACCAACATCTATATGGCACATACCAGGCAAGCAACTGATGGATAGATGGAATATCCGAGGCTGTAAATACCAACATCTATATAGCACATACCAGGCAAGCAACTGATGGATAGATGGAATATCCGAGGCTGTAAATACCAACATCTATATAGCACATACCAGGCAAGCAACTGATGGATAGATGGAATATCCGAGGCTGTAAATACCAACATCTATATAGCACATACCAGGCAAGCAACTGATGGATAGATGGAATATCCGAGGCTGTAAATACCAACATCTATATAGCACATACCAGGCAAGCAACTGATGGATGGATGGAATATCCGAGGCTGTAAATACCAACATCTATGTAGCACATACCAGGCAAGCAACTGGTGGATGGATGGAATATCCGAGGCTGTAAATACCAACATCTATATAGCACATACCAGGCAAGCAACTGATGGATAGATGGAATATCTAAGGCCGTAAATACCAACATCTATGTAGCACATACCAGGCAAGCAACTGGTGGATGGATGGAATATCTGAGGCCGTAAATACCAACATCTATGTAGCACATACCAGGCAAGCAACTGATGGATGGATGGAATATCCGAGGCTGTAAATACCAACATCTATGTAGCACATACCAGGCAAGCAACTGATGGATGGATGGAATATCCGAGGCTGTAAATACCAACATCTATGTAGCACATACCAGGCAAGCAACTGGTGGATGGATGGAATATCCGAGGCTGTAAATACCAACATCTACATGGCACATACCAGGCGAGCAACTGGTGGATGGATGGAATATCCGAGGCTGTAAATACCAACATCTACATAGCAGATACCAGGCAAGCAACTGGTGGATGGATGGAACAGGCCCAGAGAAGGGCAAGAAGAAGATTGGTCTTCATCATTTATGACAGACGAACAACACACAGCAACCTGGCATGTGTAGAACCCCTGTTATTTCATGTAACGCAAACATAACATAAGCCTTGACCCACTAGGGTCCTGGGGGTGTATCCATGGAAGCACTAGCCCACACAACCTGCCATCGTTCTCTGTCTTCCTCATGTTGAACAAGTAAGTGTATAGTCATTTAGTCCTGTCCATTTGTTGATGTTGTCATTCCAGGTTCTTCTTTGCCCTCCTCTTCTTCCATCACTACCTAATTTATCCTAGTCTTTGCAATTGAATCATGTCTCATCCCTTGTCTGAACCAAACTAGCTTGTGACATTTCACCATTGCTAGAAGGGGCTGCTGATGTCCTGCAAACTTTTTTATTTTGCCTTCGACATATTTGATGTTATTTTACTAGCTGACGTCTCTACGTGCTGTCTACTTGACCTGTTTGTTTCACCAGAGTTCCAATACCTGGCCTCCGCCTGACCCCCGAGCCTCCATGAACCTCGGCAGGGGTCTGACCCCGGAGCTTCTGGGACCCCCAGAGACCTGTAACTCACACAAACCCATACAGATGCAGTGGAGTGACCCTCTGTCTGCCAGATCTGTGTGGCAGCCAGCGTCACAAGGTATGCCTGTCTGCACAGCATTTCTGTCTTTATCTAAACAGTTTGCCTGTCTATCAAACATTTATGTCTTTATTTAAACAGTTTGTCCGTCTATCAAACATTTATGTCTTTATCTAAACAGTTTGCCTGTCTATCAAACATTTATGTCTTTATCTAAACAGTTTGCCTGTCTATCAAACATTTCTGTCTTTATCTAAACAGTTTGTCTATCAAACATTTCTGTCTTTATCTAAACAGTTTGCCTGTCTATCAAACATTTATGTCTTTATCTAAATAGTTTGTCTGTCTATCGAACATTTATGTCTTTATCTAAACAGTTTGTCCGTCTATCAAACATTTATGTCTTTATCTAAACAGTTTGCCTGTCTATCAAACATTTATGTCTTTATCTAAACAGTTTGTCTATCAAACATTTCTGTCTTTATCTAAACAGTTTGTCTGTCCATCAAACATTTATGTCTTTTTCTAACATTATGTCTATCTAGTCTACCAAATTTTTGTATTTATCTAAACAGTTTGTCTGTGTACAAAAAATGTATGTCTTTATTTAACATTATGTTTGTCTACCCAACATTTCTGTCTTTATCTAAACATTTTTTCTGTCTTTCCAACATTTCTGTCTTTATCTAACATTATGTCTGTCTACTGAATATTTATTTCTTTATCTAACTGTTTGTTTGACAAAATGTCTGTCTTTATCTAACAATGTGTCTGTCTATCCGGTATTTATATCTTTAACTAATAGCCTCTCAGTCTACAGAAGATTTGTTTCTTTTTCTAACAATTTGTCTGTCTGTCTAACATTTCTTGTCTGTTCCTCTAACACTGAGTGTCCGCACATCATTAGTTTACAGTTTTTATCTTTTTTGTCCCCCCCCCCCCCCCCCCATTTAATACATTTGCTGAATGTATTTTATGCTGACTGCCTGTTGATTCATTTTTTTTTACCTTTGTCTGTTCATCAAACAAATTTTGTCTGTTTCTCAACATTTCTATGTATTTATCCAGAATTACAGTCTGTTTATCCAGTGATTGGTGCTGTGTTATATGTGTGTTTATCTGGTGTGGTTTGGCTGTTTATCCAGTGTTTGGTGCTGTGTTATATGTGTGTTTATCTGGTGTGGTTTGGCTGTTTATCCAGTGTTTGGTGCTGTGTTATATGTGTGTTTATCTGGTGTGGTTTGGCTGTTTATCCAGTGTTTGGTGCTGTGTTATATGTGTGTTTATCTGGTGTGGTTTGGCTGTATATCCATTCTTGTGTTTCTGTCTAGATCCCAGTCACCAGAAAACATCACATAGCATGCAAGGGTTCGGAGGAGCACATTAGGGCAGCACTGAACTATCAGTGTGTAGAGGAAGAACATACACCACCCTCACTGGCGCACACCTGGGGCAGCACTGAACTATCAGTGTGTAGAGGAAGAACAGACACCGCCCTCACTGGCCCACACCAGGGCAGCACTGGAACTATCAGTGTGTAGAAGAAGAACAAACACCACCCTCACTGGCTCACCTGGGCAGCACTGGAACTATCACTGTGTAGAAGAAGAACAGACACCACCCTCACTGGCGCACACCTGGGCAGCACTGGAACTATCAGTGTTTAGAAGAAGAACAGACACCACCCTCACTGGCTCACCTGGGCAGCACTGGAACTATCAGTGTGTAGAAGAAGAACAAACACCACCCTCACTGGCGCACACCTGGGCAGCTGGTAGACCAGTAGAAGTACAGGTGGGCTCTGAGGCCTGCCCAGACAACAGACAGGCTAACAATGAGGGTCAGGCCACACTAGTCCTGTGTATGGGTGTGCATTTGCTACAAGGACAGGGTGCTAATTTCTAACTGCATCAGCGATAACAATGACGATGACGACAACCAGTGTTTCTTCAACATGAAGACTGTGTGACGACCACCAGTGTTTCTTCAACATTAAGACTGTCTGACGACCACCAGTGTTTCTTCAACATTAAGATTATCTGACAACCACCAGTGTTTCTTCAACATTAACACTGTCTGACGACCACCAGTGTTTCTTCAACATTAAGACTGTGTGACGACCACCACTGTTTCTTCAACATTAAGACTGTCTGATGACCACCAGTGTTTCTTCAACATTAAGACTGTCTGACGACCACCAGTGTTTCTTCAACATTAAGACTGTCTGTCTGACGACCACCAGTGTTTCTTCAACATTAAGACTGTCTGACGACCACCAGTGTTTCTTCAACATTAAGACTGTCTGACGACCACCTGTGTTTCTTCAACATTAAGACTGTCTGACGACCACCAGTGTTTCTTCAACATTAAGACTATCTGACGACCACCAGTGTTTCTTCAACATTAAGACTGTCTGACGACCACCTGTGTTTCTTCAACGTTAAGACTGTCTGACAACCACCAGTGTTTCTTCAACATTAAGACTGTCTGACGACCACCAGTGTTTCTTCAACGTTAAGACTGTCTGACGACCACCAGTATTTCTTCAACATTAAGACTGTCTGACGACCACCAGTGTTTCTTCAACATGAAGACTGTCTGACGAAAACCAGTGTTTCTTCAACGTTAAGACTGTCTGACGACCACCAGTGTTTCTTCAACATTAAGACTGTCTGTCTGACGACCACCAGTGTTTCTTCAACATGAAGACTGTGTGTCTGATGACCACCAGTGTTTCTTCAACATTAAGACTGTCTGACATGAATTGTTTTTCTCCACAAGAAGCCTTAGATCTTATTGTGTGTGGAGACATGGCACTATTCTTCTTCATCTCCTTCAACTGCTGCTGCTCCTATTCTTCCTGCTCATTGTTCTGTTCATTGTGTTTTTAGTCTTTCTTTAGCTGTGTGTTGTTATCCCGGATGACTGCTGTATTGGAGCTTTGCTGGTGTCAGTGGCAGCTCATTGAGACTACCCAACAATGTTGTCTCAGTGTTAGAGACACTCCCTCCTTCCCACTGGAGCTTTGCTGGTGTCAGTGGCAGCTCATTGAGACTACCCAACAATGTTGTTTCAGTGTTAGAGACACTCCCTCCTTCCCACTGCTGTGTTGGAGCTTTGCTGGTGTCAGTGGCAGCTCATTGAGACTGCCCAACAATGTTGTCTCAGTGTTAGAGACACAACCCCCCCCCCCCCCCCCCCTTTCCCCCCCCCCCCCTTTCCTTTTCACTGTTGTGAATGTTTGTCTCTGTGAACCAATGTTTAATCCACATCTGCTCACGCATGGAATGTATTGGCTTACATTCATTCACACATTGAATTTGTGGCACTGTACCACTGTTTATTAGTGCATCCATTGTCTCTTTCTAATAACAATATGAGAATCCATGTCACCAAGATTCTAATGTATTGGTATCAGAAACACAAATACAATAAACTCTCCCTTGTGGATGAATTGATGTTGAATTTGGCCAAGCCATTTGCTGGTACAGTCAGCTCCTGCCACGACTAACTGTGGACGTACCTGCAGTCTGCAAGCAGGACTTCTCATTTGTCATCTTCCTTGGAGGTTTACTTGCTGACAACCTCCTTATCTGTATGTTCTGAGCCTACAGCTTGCTGAACGGCCTCGGTGTCATGTTGCTCCACAGATCTCAGTCCTTGGTATTCCCAATCTCTTCTGTTGATGATATTCCTCCATGCCACAGCCTCAGACCACCCAGGATCAGTTCTCTCTGTTGACCTCTAACTCTGCCACCCTTGATGTTTTCAGCTGTTGTAGTGCTGTCTCTCTGTCTGTCTCTATCTCTCTCTTTCTCTCTCTCTCTTTCTCTTTCTCTCTTTCTCTCTCTCTCTCTCTCTCTCTCTCTCTCTCTCTCTCTCTCTCTCTCTCTCTCTCTCTCCCTCTGTCTGTTTCTATCTCTCTCTCTCTCTCTCTCTTTCTCTCTTTCTCTCTCTCTCTCTCTTTCTCTCTCTCTGTCTCTCTCTCTCTCTGTCTCTCTCTCTCTCTCTCTCTCTTTCTCTCTCTCTCTCTCTTTCTCTCTCTCACTTACAGTTGCCCATCTTCTCATCACATGACTTAAGAATCGTACTAGATCTGTACAGACAGCACATAGCTTGCCAGTTTGGCTGTATGCAACCAAACTTTAAAAATACCACACAACCGAAAATTGATCTCTTTGTACATATGTTATTTATTGTGACTCAGTTGCCAGAACGTGTGTGTGTGTATTTGGTCACTGTTAGTCTAAATCTGTCTACCATCCAGTGTTGGATCCGCTCTTGGATGCCTTCAATGTAACACTGTATTATTCTGTTCTTGATGTATCTAATGTGTTGCCATTAACTGTGTTTTATCCACGGTGGATATAACTTGTGCTAACTGCTGTTGTATCTATGTTTGGTGTATATTGTTTGTATCCACAACGAGTATTTATTGTGTAGTTACTGCTGCTGTTTGTTGATTTGTGACCTGGATATTTGGGGACATGTAATGTTGGTCCTGACAGTCACAACAGTTATACCAGTATTGTCACACTTCTCTGTCTGTCTCATTCTCTCTCACACACATGCACCCCCCCCCCCCTCACATACACACACACTTTCTCACACAACACTCTCTTGTATACACACACACTCTTGTACACACTATCACAACACTTTCTCATACACATACACACACAATTATGTACACACTCTCTCACACAACACTCTTTTGTATACACACACACTCTTGTACACACTATCACAACACTTTCTCATACACATACACTCACAATTATGTACACACTCTCTCACACAACACTCTCATACACACACACACTCATGTACACACTCTCACACAACACTCGTATATATACACACACACAGATGTACACTCTCTCACACAACACTCTCTCATATACACACACACACACTCTCTCACACAACACTCTCTCGTATACACACACATTTATGCACATACTCTCTCACACAATACTCTCTTGTATACACACACACACTCATGTACACACTCTCCCTCCCTCTTTCTCAGAAACAATATGTCTGATTGCCTTTAGGTTGCCGTCTTGATAGTTCAGTGGCCAGCACATTGTATCATTCTGGTGGCCCTGGGTTCAAATCCCCTTGAAGATAGTTGTATTGACAAAAGACCTACCTTTCCACATCAACACAGTCTCAGGAAAAGTTTGTAAAGGTAAAGGCGGCTATAAAGATACTAATCCTGTCACCCAGTGAGTGTTGAGGACTGTAGAGTCTACTACTAGCACTATTGATTAAGTGTGTGTGGGTTCCGGGGCCCCATTATGGGGAAAACAAGAATAAACCCACTGGCTCCCCAACAGACATACCCATATCTCACAGATAGATACTGCCCCTGGTTACTGACCAGGAATTTCATCATTAAACTGAGGTCTGTTATTAGTCCAGATGTGTTGATGTGCACCATGTCTTTGTGTGTGCTTATCTCTTCACTTCAGCTGTGCAATTTTCACTTCAACAGTGTACTTATTTCTTTACTTCAGCTGTGCACCTTTCACTTTTACCGTGCACTCATCTCTCCACTTCAGCTGTGCACTTTTCACTTCAACTGTGCACTTATCTATTTATTTCAGCTGTCCACTTTTCACTTCAGCTATGCACTTTATCTCTTTACTTTAGCTGTGCACTTTTCTCTTCACTTCAGCTGTGCACTTATCTCTTTACTTCAATTGTGCACTTATCTTTTCACTTCAGCAGTGCACTTATCTCTTGACTTCAACTGTGCACTTATCTCTTCACTTCAACTGTGCACTTATGTCTTCACTTCAACTATACACTTATCTTTTTGCTTTAGCTGTGCACTTTTTACTTCAACTGTGTACTTATCATTTTAACTTTGCACTTATCTCTTCACTTCAGCTGTGCACTTTTATCTTCAGCTGTGCACCTATCACTTCACTTCAACTGTGCCCTTGTACCTTCATTGTTATTGCACCATTCTTGTTGTTCATGTATGAATGCAACTGTGTGTAACCTGGCTAGAATCTGTGTTGTTTGTTTCGGTTGCTCAACAGTTTTCAGTTCTTCAAAATATCCAGGCTCTCATTTTAACTCTTTGAGTCCCAGGGGGTTTAGCATCACAGGCCCAAGGGGTAGTAAAGAAAGTAATAAAATCGGTGAATCATGCGTTCATTGGGCTTCTAGGTAGGAACCTATGAACGTTTGATGCGTTCCTTGGAACTCAAAGAGTTTAAAAAAAAAATTTCTTCAGAACAACAGTATAATTCTGTGCCGTGTGTGTGTGCACATCCAAACTTTGTTTATGTATGTATGTTTTCACCTCAGCTTGCAAGTGAAGTTTTTGTCAAGTACTTATCTTTGCAGAGATTTATTTCATCGCTTGGGAAA